CATGAAACACGGGTTGCTCAGGTTGCAACTAAGCGGCGGGCAGTACGGTCCATGATGTGCTTAGTGATGCAGCGACTGCATACAACCGGTAGGGCGCCATCCCTTTACTGTTGAGACGTTTTGATCGATTGAACTAGCCATGAGATACATTATTGATACAGAACATCAGTACACCATTTCATTAATCATTTCATTGTATCATTTTGCCATTCTGATGATATTTCCATTTCGGGAATTCTTCCATGAAGATTCGCTCACGGCCAAGTCCCTGTCCCACACGCTCACCGCTGCGCCAGGCCTGCATTTCCTTGAGCACTGCATTCTCCTCACTGTCCTCTTGGATGATGCAAGAGACAGGACGGGGTCAGGTGACAGTCAGGTGGGTCAGGCAGAGGGTTTGTGCTGTCAGGCTGTCGAGAAGCAAATGAAAATGGATGACAGGGATCGAAAGGATGATCATGGATCTCAATCTGACAGGGATCAGGCTGAAATAGTCTGAAAATGAAGGAAGCCCAAAGATAGATCATGATAGATCATTGGATTTCGGGGTGCCAATTTTGAGACTGTAGAAGTCGATGTAATTACATATCATAATATGGGTGTGCCTCAAAATGGGACACCCCCAATAATGACAACTTTCATGGGGAAGATCCTCATCAACCCACTGCCAAATAATGAACATGTAAGGAGTTGAGAGCCAATGAGCCAATGCAAGCTATTTCTTGTCTTCATGCTTCTGTACTATATAATCACGAGACGGACATGTTTAATACTTAAATCAAGTGAATCTCACGACTGCCCGCATGCAAAGAAACATAAAGACACATCATTAAGGATGGAAAGGTCCCATGATGGTCCCAGATGGTTACCGATGAAATCATGGATCTTCAGCTTCTGTTGCATTCCGCTTTCGGTTTGCACAAAGCTTTGATGACTAGATAGCTCAGAATTTACCAGAAATACACGTCTACCTTGATTTTACTTTTTCGATCTGCAGTCCAGACCCAGCAGACTTCAGGCGAAGGACCAGTTACTGGATTTCCACTAACCTGTACTGTATCATTTAAGTCATGTAATTCTTCAAACAGCCAAAAGAGCACAAAATAAGTGCAGTCCATGAGAACCAGGCTGTTCAAATTGTTGTCGACCATGATTATGCATAAACCATGTGACTTCGCCATGATTCATGAGTAGTATTGACAGACATGTATTTATTCCCCATGTGGCCGAGTATTTCCTTGCACCAGAGATGAAATGTGCGGTCTAGTCCCTTTCCCATTTGACCTAGGCAACTGAATTGAAGGCCCTAGTTCCTAGAGATCGCTTTGTTTTTTTCTTAGCAGCCGGCGCAAAGTCGAAGTGAGCGCAAAATAGATGGAAATTTCTGCATCAAAACAGGCAGACAGTCTTGGTCAAATTGTGAAATTGTGAAAGTCTGGTTGATGGTCTCTAGTCTGCATGGTTCCTCGGATTTGTATCTCTTGAGATAGCATGAGATACCGGCCATCATCAGAATGAATTTGACCTGTTCAAAATTGGCTATGACTTGTGACCACCGACCAGGAGTTTCCATGAAGCGGTGAATCGGCGCTCTCCGGTGCCCAGAATGCACTGGAAAACGGGACAAATGAAATGAGCCATCAAAACCCGCTCCTTTGAAACGGCTGAGCGAGGCATGAAAAGGGATTTGATAGGGGGTGCGGCAGCAAAGGATGGTGGCATCAATGCGTGCTAACTTATGTTTTCATTTTCAGGAACGTCGGCAATGACCTGCATTGAAAACGTCACCTTGTTTGCGGGGCGGCTGGGTGCACGTGGCTCTGGAGGAGGCGCGCCTACGTGCACACTTGGACCTGTGAACCTTGGAACGCGGCCTGAACCGCACGGCTATCTGCTTTGTCAGCAAGGCATTGAAAGTGGGGTGACTGCTAACATCTTCCTGGCGGGACTATGTCTTGCACAATGACGGTCGAGGGTGAGCCAACTCCTGGCGGAGTGCCAACAGCACCCGCCCAGGAATTGGGTTCAAAGGCAACGCCAGACCGCGCAGGACCAACCACAATGCATTCACGATGACAGAAAGAATTAAATAGCACGAATGATGCACCATCAATTATATATCCTGATTCTATCATAGATTGCTTGAGCAAGTAGGTTGATCACCGATGACTCGATACATTTCCTCGAACAACGACTTGAGAACAGAATTTATCAGGTCTAAAAATAGCAATATCCAATATTCATATATAGACATGATAACGATCGGCCATTCAGGATTGAGACATTTCTTAGTGCAGAAAGATCAATGGATGCAATAAAAAGGAAAAATCGAAAAAAAAGGTTACACACCTACAGTAGATATACTGTTTATGTAAATATCAACATATATATATATGTATATTTATATTTATATGTGTGTGTATGCCTCTACGATCTAGCTATGCCTATCTGTATAATTCTAGACCCCTTGGACCCCCTGATTCACATCGAAGGAGGAGGTGGACGGGCACGTGCTGGAGCTCCTGAGGGTGCCGCCTGAAGGCCCGCGCGCGTGGCCCGCCACGTGCGGGCTCTGCTGGCAGAGCTGCAAGAGTAGGCCGGGGAGTGCGGCTGGGGCCCGGGATGAGCACGAGCCACATCATTTAATTATTCGCTAAAGGCAACTTGCATCTTCCATCTAACGACGTTTCAAACCATTATAATTATAAGCATTGGTGTGCAACTTCAAGATTGCGCATTCGAAATTCTATTTGGCAAGACTAGTTAATATAAAATGCACGGATCTAAAGATGATGAAGATATAGAGAGAGAGGGAGAGCGGAGAGAGAATGAGAATGTGTCCTTACATGAGAATGCACGCGTATACATCTTGTAATGGTACCGGACGATGGAAATTTCCGATAAGAAAATTGAATGACCTTGTCGCCCTGCCAAAACTCCCCGCCGCAGGACGGCAGCGAGGGCAGCACAAGCACAGAAGCCGCCGCACAGGCCCCCCTCCCGCCGGACGAGCGCAAAGCCGTCCGGTGGGAGGGGGGTGACAGGCGCAAGACCAGCACGTTTCAAAAATCATTCGTGGTGCTGGTTGTGCAGGCACAGCGACCAAAAGTGCTCCGAGCCGGACAGCTTTTTACGATTTTTATGTGAAATCGAGCTCTCGCTACAGTCTCGTGCCCATTTTGTCGATCTCATCTTGCAAAAGTGCTGCGGGCCCTCAGTTTTTACGATTTTATGTGACCAACCACTTGGTGGATGATGATGATGATGATGATGATGATGATGTGGTTGACATATGAAATCGAGCTCTGGCTACAGTCTCATGCACATTTTGCCAACCTCATCTTCCAAAAGTGGTCCAAACATGACATTTTTTTGTTTTTTATGTGAAATCGAGCTCTGGCTGCAGTCTTGCGCGCATTTTGCCGACCTCATCTTCCAAAAGCGTCCCGGCCCCTCAGTTCTTTTACAGTAACATTTTTCAATTGGAAATCGAGCTCTCGCTACAGTTCTGTGCACTGTTTGTTGACAACTTTCCCCGATCGATCCGCGAACCACGCGCGTAAACAGAGACCCCTCACTCGGCGACCACGGCAGCCACTTTACCCGAAAAAACATAGGGTTTCGCGCCCGAGAGAGTTTTCAAGCCTGAATTCACTCGTTCCCGATCTCTTAGACTTCCCAACTACTTGATGATGATGTATTTGCCATGATGATGTGGTTGACAGGATGATTGACATGATGATGTGGTTGCCACAATGGTGAGAAAGCTGGCCATGACAATCGTCCGTAACTCGGAAGTTTCCTAACTAAACTTCCTTTGATTATATATATATATATAAAATTATTATAAATTTTATTTATATACACATTTTTTTATATTCGAGATTCTATACATTATATAGATAAAAACACATTTAAAACATATTTTGTACATTATACGGTAAATATTGTATATCATTTTTGAAATACAATATATATTTTTTTGAAATATTATATTTCATGTATTAAATTTTATTTTCTCGTATTATAATATATATATATATAAGTTTTTTTTTAAACATATTGTATAAATATATAATATATTATCCTAAATATATTGTGCATTTTATATTTCATATTTTATTATGTTTTATTGTATTTTATTGTATTTTATTTCATTGTATTATATTTCATGCTATGATATATATATATTATATAATATTGTATAATAGAATATTATTTTTTCATATACTGTATATTATATTATATTATAACATATTATATTATATTGCATTATATTATATTATATTATATCAAATTTTAACATTATGTTTTATTATATTATATTTCATTAAAACATATATTATATTATATTATATTATAATATATTATATTATGTTAAAACTTATATTATATTGTACTATATATTATATGGTATTTTTGGTAAAATATTAGATCTATGTTAGGTTGTGTCTAATGCATGACATATTTTATATTACAAATAGATACAAATATGATTATATATATATATCTTCATAATTATATATTATACATTGGTTTTTATATTTTGTTATATTATTAAATATATATATATTATTTTGTTTTGTATTGTACATATTCAAATTTTAGTCTTTTCTTTTATATGGCATGTTTTATTTTTTTATACTAGAATTTGTATATATATATGTTATATATATATATATTTATATTGCATACCATATATTACATATTTTATTTTATATATGAATCATATATTTTGACAAACAAACCTGACATCAAAATGACGCAGCGTTGCAAGGATGGCACATCAGTTCCAGGAGGGATGGGTTTTGGATCATGCACTGTTTTTTTTTTTAAATCTCATGTTGAACATAGGCCTTGAATCAGCTGGTTCAACTTACCCAGAATATACCCGGGAACCAGCATTGTCCAATCTTTCCAGGATCAAACTCCAACCCCTCCAAAGTTTTCCCAACTTTATGACCGAACATCAACGAAATCGCCACTTCTTTTGGGCCAAGGAAAGAAGGTACAATGGTTTTCCAACTCGCTGAAGAAACTAATTCCCGTGCGCGTGACCAAAGTGGACCATGAGAGGCTCCTGGATCAACCCGACATGAACAACAACCGGGAAACATCATGGGGAAACATCAAAATGGGGATAGAGACCACAGATCTGACATGATTTGACAGATCTCATTCATTTTTTCTGGGACAGTAGAAGTACATGCGCGACCCATAGACACTGGGTTGCATTGCACCTTTTGAATTTTAAGGGGTAGATGCGTTTGACGCATTCATACGCATTCTCATATGGGTCTTGGTCACAACAACGTAATTCTCCAAAGACGGGATGCTATATTCTTACACAAACGGCTAAGGATGATCAGCCCATTTGCGGTTCTAAACACCTTAAATTTTGCAACCATGCATATTCCTAGTTTCGTTGGATCATATCCACATTCTTGCTGGTTATGTAAAATTCATGTCAATTCCTCATTTTTGCCGATGAAATTTGGACCAAGCGTTTTTGTTGACACTTTTCCCCCACCCGCAGGTCCGTGGTGATCGCCACCTTTGAATCGGATCATAGCGTTTGGAAGAGCGTGTTTCGGCGGATGTGGAGCTAGGATCATTTCTCCGATGAAGAACAGTTTTCAAGAAACTCGTGTGTTTGGGAGTGAAACATATCCATGGTTTCCTAAGTGCCCTGTATTTTCTTGGTCGTTTTTCCCGAAAAACCAATCCAACTTGATATTCATGTCAGCCAAAACAAAAAGAGGAAAAACGTGCAGCATTCAAACAGGATTGTATAAAGGTGTAGCTTTCCAATACAAAAACCACGAACTCACAGAGGCCAAAGCAAATTGTTGGTTGAACATCCACCATTTTGACTTGCTGAATCCCACTTTTACTGGACAAAGCCCCTTCAAGAGCAGCTGGTAATCCCTCTATGACTATGTCGATGGTGTTTCAAAAGATATATCACCCCGAAATTCCGAAGGCTTTTGCAGATGAATCCGTTTGTCCGATTTTTTTTTTTTGGGATGTTCAATAAGGCAAAAAAAAACTCCATGACCCTTGGAGATTTCCATCCCTTCAAGGTGCATTTTGGCATCCTGGGCCGAGAGGATTGTCCTTTGCGTGGACCAGCTGGTGAGGCCGTAGGGCGGAGGTCAAGGGGAGCAACATGGGTGAAACTTGGGGGATTTAAGTGATGATAAGTGATGTAACTATTAACTGAATATGTAGAACTAAAATATGTGATATTTTTTTTCCTTATAACTATAAACTATATACTCTAATTGATATAATTGATTTGGAATAGAGATTCAAAAGGATTTTGAAATCGAATCCTCTGCAAAACAGCTTGGCGCAGGCGGAAGATAAGGTCCAAACTGCAAGCTGTTGGATTCAAACATGCAATGCCATCAGAATGGTGATCGGTCGGACCATCAGGATGATCCGTTTAGATAGCAGCTATTTTGGGGGCTTGAAACCAGGGTATCCAAGGGTCATCGCAGGAAAGCAGTGAGGATGAGGTGCTGCAGACTTGGGACACTTTGGAGTCCACCAAGACCATAGCCTGACATATGGTCATGGAAACATGTTGTCATGGAAATATGTTGTGTAGCATCAGGTTGCAGCACATGCTTATGTACATTACTCAAATACGCAAATATCATTCAAATATCTATAAATATCCATGACCTCAGAATTCTAGTCTTCTAGTCTTCTAGTTTTCACCTCAAGGCAGTTGCAGATTGCAGATAGAAATATCCAAGATGTTTTGAGATGTTGGATTCAATAGATGGTATTTTCACATGCAATTTTGTTTGGACATGAAAGGTGAAACTCTTCACATGTACACCCAGACGTGTGTTCCCTTTGCTTTTTGCGTGGGTCAAAATGGGATACCCCTAAATCTGATGGATACGTATGGAGGTTTCCTGAAATAGAGGTACCCTCAAATCATCCATTTTAATGGTATGTTGCGGTAAGTTCCATTATAAACCATCCATTTGAGGGTACCCCCATTTATGGAAACCCTCATATGAATACAATACTAACCGTCAAAATTTGCGAGGTGCCATGGAAGAAATGCCAGTTTGGTCGATGCAATCCCCCGTTGCGGAGCCGAATCCCCCAGTCGATTGGGTTTCAGGAGGAGAAGAAACCGCGAAAGAGGGCCAGAAGCAGGTGCCCAGGGATAGTATCTCAAAGTTGGGGCCCAGCTTGCCATGGATGGTTATGAACTTTACATAAGTTTCCAATCATTGTTTGGAACAAAATACACCACATGGCAATGCTGGTGTAGTCAATGATGGCTCTGCAGGACGCCAGATGTTTGGGAGCAAGAACGGCGGCGCGTGATTGCCACACAGGCCGGTTGCGGGTTGTATGTTGCGGGTGGCCATTGGGGGTCGAAGAAGCGCCATGTCCAGGTTTGCGTCGCGGGGAAAAGATGGAGTACGGATAGCCTCAGTGATTAAACCAATGTTGATTTTGATTCCTAATTTTCAGGTGATTTTTCCATTGATCATAGAAGTCTTACTTTGCAATGTTTGATTACCATTGCGTAGATGGAAGGTTAGACTGATGCAAGGCGGTTGCAGATGGCGAGAGAAGCGAGGGTCGATCAAGAGGTATCTGCCAACCATTAGGGGCATCTGAATGGCCTGACTTGCCAACTCGCCAAGCAGATCATTTTGATTCTCACTTTTCTATACTTTGGCTGGGTAGACCACCACTTTTGGTGGATTGATTGTCCAAGATCCCATTTCTGAATCCCCAGATATCCAGATCACACCCATAGCCACCGTTTTTTCATCCCACCGCCGTATAGGAAGCTGTGCGAGCGTAGGGTGGCCAAGTCCTGTTCAGACGGTGCTGCATCGAGCCGTGACCAACCGAACATGAGACATGGGGATTGTGACCCACCAGTCGCAATGGGGATTTCGACCATGGGGATTTTGCGCGACGAGGAACCCTTGGGAGTTGACCAGCGAATTTTTGAATTTTGTTGGATGCCAAACATGTAACATGGAGGTCGACTTTTTTGGCGTTGGGAAACTTCCCATGATATATTCCCAGTATTGCTGGATACCAAACATTCCATGATATATTCCCAGTATTCCCATTGTATTCCCATGATTTGGGGGTTCTTCCCATAGAGAAACGCCCGGCATCCCATAGAGAACTGCCGCAACCAGGGCGGAACGTGCGGACGAGGAGCGCCGCAAGAAGGCGATGGAGGAGGAGTCCTCGGTGAATGGGGGCCATGGCTATGGCTAAACAAGACAGCCTTTGGACCAGACCTATCAAGTTGTGGCATTTTTTCGGAGGCATCCATTTTTTTGGGATTTTTGGAATTTGCAGAATTTTGTGCCATGCCCATTTGGGGATTACATTTGGAATATAGTTGGCCAAATTGATAGGAATGGGATGGGATGCTTCTGTGACCAATACCGATTCTGATGATATTGATGATTTGGAATTTCATATCATCAGATGATATTAAAATTTCTGATGATATTGATGTAGCCATTGTTTTTTTTTCAATAAATGTCTTGTGTCTCTGAAAATCAATGGCTCCTTTTGCGTAGCCAGAGTCCACCTGGAATTTTCCAAGTCCAGTGAGTTGGGATGTCGTCAAAAAGGCGCTGCGCGGTTGCCTCCAAACTGACTCTTGGATTGATGGCTTTTGACTGTCTATATATACATATATATATATACATATATGTATGTACATATATATATATATATGTATATGATATCTAGTTCATTTGGCATGGTTCTTCACTCATTGGTTCCTATTCTGTGCCATTGCCCATGTTACTTCGGAGCAACTACTTGGGTCGCGCGCCAGGAGCACCGCCGCAAGGCTGCGCAGGAGGTGGAACGGCTGAAGGCGCGCTACTGGAAACGACGTAGGGACTACTGGGGGGGATGGAAGAAGGGGGATTTGTATGTTTCAGACACACCTAATCTAAGATGAGTATGTAATGTTAATGAAACTAATATGTATACGTGTATGTTAATTATTACATTGAAACTAATCTAAGATGCAAAGGGATTAGTTTCAGACACACCCAAAATCAATGTTCATCAGGTGTTTGACCCTACTTTCGATGATGAATAAGATACAGTAAAACCATATAAGACCATTTGGGGTTTCTAAAAATGGAGGGATCCCCAAGTCACCATAGGTTTCAATCTTAAAATGGTCATAAATGGTCTAATTTAGGATGATTTGGGGATAGCCCCATTTTAGGAAACCTCCATTTGGTAAAGGAATCCCATGATTCAACACCGAATCATGGGTTCAACAAAGACCATTTTTGTGGATGGATACTACCCAGCTGAACTCCCCGTTGATATCCACCATTGGATGAATGATGCCAATTGACAAACATCTTTTTGGAGGGATGAAACCAGCAACCTCTGGGGATTTTGGACAGTGAAACTTCACACCATCCCGTGGACATGGGGACACGGTCCTCAAGAATTGCTCTTTTTCGTTGGGATTTTTCCAGCCGCAACTTCCTCCCTCCGTTGTTCTGGAGGTTCAAGCAGCCTTTGAACAACGAAAGAAAGAAGCCGAGGCTGGTTTAGTCTAAAGCGCGTTCTGAAGGGAACCATCCGCTGCAAACCAGCGAATCTGGAATCTGGAACAGCATGCACAGGGAAGGAAGTTTGTGGACACTTGTTGGCCTAGTTCCTAGTCAGCATCTTCAAGCATCTTGAAGTCAAGATGGTTTTCAATCAACAAACATCACCATTACACGGGGCGAACCAGTTTCACCATCCATTTCTAGACTTGGGTTTGCCTAAAACTAGGGCATCCCAAAATTTGGTGTTTTATCATCATCATTTTCCCACTGAAAATCACCTTAAAAATTGAGGGTCTTCTCCATATTTCACTTGGATGTTTTAAATCTCCTCCAAATTCTTAGGAGCAGCGGCTCAGAGAAGAAGAAGAATGGCGAGCGAGGCGGAGTCTGCTGACTGGGGGCATTCTGTGCCATTCAGCAGCCAAGTATTGGTGGATCTTTGGGTCCAGGCGTCAATTTCGACTCCGCGCAATCTTATTTTTTCCATCAAACATCGGCATTTTTGGGAGCCGGGCAGGAAAAGAACTCATTTATCTTCACTAAATAACGCATCTGCAACGGGTTTCCCAGGCTTGTGGAGCGGCGGAAGAAGGAAGCAGCTGAAGAGGCAACCATTCTTTCAGACCTTCCCATGTGTTCTTCCAGGTTTTTTTCCTCCACCAGCTTTTTGTGGGTGTTTCTATTATGGATTCCAAAGATCGTGCCTCAGAGACTTGCAAAGAAACATGTAAGATTGTATCGGATTGTATCGGAATTCCAAGTGTCACGTAGGCAGCTGAGCTTCAAATCGCGCAGAAGGAAAGCAGTTCTTTATAGAAATATAAAACACATAAATAAATAAATACATATATATATATATTATACATATATAATTATAGTAATAATAATAACAATCATAATAATAACACATAATAAACAACAATAATAATAATAATAATAATATAATAATAATAATAGTAATAGTAATAATAATAATAGTATTCATAATAATAATAATAATGATAATGATAATAATAATAATCATAATAACAATAATAATAATAACAACAACAAATAATGAATAATAATAATAATTAGTATTGTTGTTATTATTATTATAATCATTATTATTATCATATTATGTTTTTTATCGCGGTTTTCATTGATAGGTTCCTCCAAAAAACCCTTAGCAGTGACACGACCTCGATCATGCTGCGTTGGCCCCGTCTGCTCCAGGAGAAGAGACTGCAACAGGAGGAGGAGGAGCCGATTCAGCCAACCAACATCAACCAACCACTGAGTGGTTTTGTCATAGATCCAAGGTATCCAAGGGAAGTAGGGTGAATTGAATGAATTGTCCCAGTTCCAAGGTGCTCAAGATGTTGCCAAGTTGACATCATTTCCCCCTGCACAACTTTTTAAGCACATGCCATGCGCTGCCAGGAGAGGCAAGAACGAAAACGACGACGTCTGGAGCTTGGTACATCCCTCTTCGCAAGAAAATCCATTGAGTCATAGGGGTTGATCCAGGCAAACACGCTGGGAACGAGAACAAGTCTGAGTATGGCATAGATTGGCCTAGTGGGGGTGCTGCACCTGGTTTCTTACGAAGGTTCCAAGGGGGGTCCCTCACAAAAGAGGATTTTTATGCTGTACAAATGATAAAGGTCATTTGGCCTTCACCACTATCTGGGTCTCCAACTCTGACTCGTCCCTGGATAGGGTGCCAAAAGATCTTAGCCCAATCCCTGTTTGGTGCTTTCAGCCACATATTTTGGGGTCTTCGCATTCACTGGTAGTGCTGAAACTGAGATGCCTTGGATGTCTTGATTGCTGAACTGCGAAAACACGTCCACTGGGGTTCGAGGTCAAAAATTATGGCAGGAACGAACACCTCGTTTTCTCAAGCGGCGGTGGATGATATTTTTTTCCTGACCATGAAATGCCAATGGCTGTCAGTGGCACCTGCCTCTGTGCACCATGCTGATCTGAAAATTAAAACAGTCCTGCGAGCGTTGGCACCCGTTTCTTGGTCATACCCTCCCGCAAACACATATTCGACCATGGGAAATCAAACGAAATCAACACTCTTTTTTCCTTTGAACAATTGATGTACAATATACATAGATATTGAATGATATAAGTTAGTGCATTATTTTTCAAACATATCTTCTTTCGTATCTTTCGTCATTGCTGGGTCATCCCCTAGGGATCACCGCATGGGCACCGATGTTTTCGCCCAGGGAAGGAAGAGAAAGATCGCGAACGCGCAGAACGGCAACGCCAGGATGAGGTGTGAAAATGATGAGGGGATGGTGGGCCTGGTGAGCGATGAGGAACTTGGAGGATTGGCCGATTTTTGTTGGTTTCCTTGGTTAATGATGACATTTCCCAATCTTCGACTTCGATGGTTGAATGCAATCCGCAGACTGAACGGCTTCATTCTGAAAGACGTTCATGACCCCATTCTGGCGCCATACCTGGAACTGGGTGGATACCAATGTTGGGACATGCCTATATTTAATATGTCTAGGCATTTTTGTCTCCATTGAAGTAAGCTTATGTGAACACTTGGACAGCTCCACTGTTGCAATGCCTTCAGGAAAGAAGAAGAGACGATCCTCGGAAGAAGGAAGCAGAGGAGGTTCAAATCATCTGGGAATGTCGGCGGCAAGTCCATCTAGGTGGGATCGCAAAGACGTTTCAAACCATGGGCCATGCCAGGACCGAGAGCGAAAGCAACAGGCCTCCATGGACTTCTTCGAACAGGAGGGATCTGGGATGGCCGGGTGAATTCACCAGCACCAATATTCCACTCTCCGATTCCAAGATGTTTTTTTTTAAAGCAGACATCATCTTTTCCACTTGAAAAATACAATTCCATGACAATGTGTAATGTGATCATCCTATTTTCAATTTCCGTTGAAATTAGAATTTGACTGGCACTGGGGATGGTATTTTCCACCAAAATAACATAAGTTTCATGGCAATTTAATCATCTTATGTTTCACAAAAAAACACATTTTCCCATGAATGATGATAGAAGAACAGTCTTGCACCTGGAATTTTTCTGCATTGGGCATGGGTTTAATTCGGACATCTCCTATTTGCTATCCTCTAGTAAACTAACATAGCTATGGAAAATCACCATTTATAGTGAGTTTTACCATTAAAAATGGTGATTTTCCATCGCTATGTTAGGTTACCAGAGGGTATCCTATTTGCCAATATCTCCTATGATCAATGACCATTTTCTCCCCACGACTTCTCCAAGGTTTGCAGCGCAGATCCCACCGCCACCGGGCGTCCAAACCTTCCGCAGCTGCGGCGGAAGGAGTCCACGAATTTCACCAGCATGGTTCACTTGACGGCAACCCTGCAATAGTATTAATCATAGTATATCAGGATATTAGCCACTAAAATTTGAAACATAGTATATCAGAACAATGTCGGTCTTTGGCTACTACCCTCTGGTAAACTAACATAACTATGGAAAATCACCATTTTTCATGGGAAAGCTCACTATTTAAATGGCCATTTTCAATAGCTATGTTAAATTACCAGAGGGTAATCATAGTATATCAGTATATTCGACAAAATCTCAAAACTACAATTCCAGAATCCTTCAGCATTTTGTTGAGTGATAGTGGTTGATTTGTGGCTTTGGTAGCTGGTAAATTAGGTGAACATCCTTAAGTCTAGTGGTAAATCATCATTTCAGCTAAACTATGATAAGACCATGAATTGGGGCATACATATTTTCAGACAAAGCCATATGTGGCCATGGTTGGTAAAATTCCTTTAAGCCATGGTTGATATTATGATGTATTGTGGTTATCCCATTATTGCCAGCCAACCGTTTAGCGGGTATTTCACGAATGGAATTTCATAGGATAAGCAGTATTAACTAGTATGATATGCAGTACACATGATATCTGGACTGCCGCAAAATGCTGGATACCGTCAATTTATGGCAGTTTTATTGATGATCAACCACCGGACACGCTTTCATAGATCGAGTGTAAATGGCTTACACTCCTTCTCTCAGAATTGGTTGATGCCTAAGATTGAATGTAAATCTCGGGGTTTGGACAGTGTTTTCCATGCTTTGATGTAGCTTCCCTCAAGTCAAGCTAGTGGCGCTCATGGGGAGATGTTTGGGATGCTGCTTCCCCAGCTGCCAGTGATTTTAGATGACAGCCCCATATTTGCTGTTTGCTACCGACTTTTTGGTGTGAAAATAGAACGTCATATACAGATGAATCTATGGATACACTTGGGAGTGGTGAAACGGCAGGATGATGACGATGACTCACCCGAACTGCCGGCTTGGTCGCAAACCTAAAGTGCTGTGGGAGAGGGTAGCGGAACAATGTCGGTCTTTGGCTACTACCCTCTGGTAAACTAACATAACTATGGAAAATCACCATTTTCAATGGGAAAATCCACTATAAATCACCCATTTTCCATAGCTATGTTAGTTTACCAGAGGGTAATCATCCCAGCAATATCCCAATTAGCCGAGTTTGTCAGGAACCAACTTGAATTGTCATGGACCGAGGGCTCGACCGCCGATGGCTGGGATGGGCTTCAACCCGGGCAACGGCCGCTGGGTGGCAGGGGCAGGTTTGGTGGGAAAAATCGATGTGCCCAAAATGTACCATCTGATTATCTATAATAACTTATATAACATATATATTTATATATATATTATATGTATATGTAGATATAATTATATATACATATAGCTATGGAATATCTAAATAGGCGGTTATTTGTTACATAGCGAAGTGGAATTTCATCGCTATTCTTAAGAGTAAATCATCAAACTCAATGGGTCATGTTCCATAGCTATGTTAAATAACCAGAGGGTAACATGAAACTTGCTGATTTTTGGACAAAGGATATGGCCATAAATACAGGTTCCATGTGAAAAAAATGGGGTGTACCATGGTGTACCCGGGGTATGATTGGAATGGGACAGGACATTACTGGCTACTTACACTTTCTACCAGGCCTATTGCTGCTCCATGAACTGTTCACCTTACCAGTTTTTTTGAGAGGTCACCAGGTCCTGCATCCAAACATCCAAATGCATCGAACATGATGTGACCTGGGCTTGACCGAGGTCACAGCGCCTTTGCAGCTGGAGGTGACACAAATGAAGACCTGGTGGTTGATCGACCCCTTAATGAATCATGGTTGAGAGAGGAAAGATGGGTGAAATGATGTAAGTAGGTGTCAAACTTGGGTGCCCTAACAGAGGGATGGTTGTCAGAAAATTACCCTACAGTAATTATTATCCCCAATTCATCAAAATCCCCTGAGACACATGAGTATCACAAGTGATTTAGCCAGAATTGCATATATCCCGATGTATCCCGATGAGTATCATGTTGATCCTTCTTTCCTTCCCCCAAAATTCCTTGAGCCAGGAGCCAAAGGTGCTGCAAAAGGCTGGGACAAAGGTTGGGGCACCTCGGCCGCATTTTTTTGCGGGCAAGAAATTCATGGGCTGTGTCGCAAAACTAAATGTCGCTCCAAGATGGGTAGTGGAACAACTGGTCCGTTCATTTTTGGGATGTGCACTTGAGTAGTTTTGACCCCTATACGCCCATCAAGCGCGAGCGCCGAGAATTCATTGTCATTCTCTACTGTTCGGATCTTTTCCAGGGTCCCGCTATAGCATCCTTTGGGATTGAGTCAAGGATTTGCAGATTGACACAGTGACACGGACTTGACATTGATACCTATCCAGTCCTTAACAATAAGCAAGAGTTGCTTGCTTTTGTAGGCTTTCTTAATCGGATCAGTGGCAAGAATCAGAATTCTCTCATTTCGTGTCTTGCTGCTTGGTAGAATTCAATGGACTTGTCAGCACCTGCATATCTTGCTACACCTCAGGACGCCAATCTGTCCCCGATCCTTAAGAAAAGTCACATCCGCATGAGCTGATCATAGATCATCATAGATCATCATAGATCATCATAGATCATCATAATAGATCATCATAGATCATCATAGGTCATCATAGATCATCATAGATCATCATAGATCATCATAGACCACGTTGCGCAAAGCCTTAGACCACTGTTCCCCAAAGCCTTCCCAGGTGGTGAAATGGCCGGCGGTGGGGCCTGTGGCGGCAAAGGCGCTCCCTACGGCTACGCCGGTTACGGTGCCTATGGTGCCTACGGTGCCTATGGCGCCGGCGGCCCCAACGGCCACGGCGCTCCGGTGCCCGCCACAACGCCGGCGACCACGAACGCGAACGCTGCGGCACCTCCGTGGCGGAGTGCCGAAGCGAGTCGACCGCCACCGCCGCCGGTGAAAGGATGGGGGAAAGAGGCTGGACATGGCGGACCTGGACCGTTTCCCGGAACTGGAGGTGGATTCCTCTTTGGGAAAGGAAAAACTGCGATTCTTGGCAGTATTGGTTTCTTTTTCCTTTTTGTTGGGTGGTTGTTGGGTGGAGCGTTTGATGATATTTGGAAAGATCAGCAGATTTGTGCTGCCAAAGAGGCTTGAACCTTGAGTTCATCAGTTTGTTTTTGCCTTTGTGCCTGGGTTGGTTCTTTCATTGCTCTTGTCTTTTCATTCCTACCTTGCATCCACAATGACAAATATTCAAATATATATTTTTTGGTGGCTCAACCGAGCAGAAAACCCATGGAGGAGTGTTACAGGGCTCACATGCAGGTCCAAAAATCGGGCATGGGCCCTGCAAATTTTCGGCAATTTTAGTGGGGGACAAATACACACACATATATATTATATATTCATATAATCTTGCAGTGTTTCTTTCTTTGCCTACCTTTCCAGTCAAATCCACATGTGCAGATCTAAGGAAAGGTTGGTGAAGCTTTGAATTGTGCAATACTCTGTAGATAGGATCTGCCAGATGATTGCAGCAAGGAGAGCAGTTCAAACACAACATTTTCAAACAAATATCGACCTTGATTGTTGATCGAAACTGCAAACCTCTGGTGCCAAGTCTAATCCGGCGTCTGGCAAAAAACTTGCGGCCTTCACAACTCGTGACAAGGGGAAGGGTTGCCGGCAGCCGGCAGCCGGTCGTGTTGGTGGGGGTATATTTCAGCAAGAGGAAATGGCGAATTCACCACAAATGTTTCCAACCTAAGCATAGCTATTAGGCTATTCGATACAGAGGAAGAAGCAAAGTTACGCAACTACCCCTGTAGTTGCGATTGCAATTCAGTAGCAAGATTGTACTGTACCTGGTCAAGGATCGACAAACGGCGCATCCAGCTGCATATGGGCTTCATATGGAGACGGTCTCTATATAGCTGATTCGAGCAGTCTATGACAATCAGTCAAGATATGGACTCTTGAACTGAGAAGTAACCGGGAGCGATTGGCATTTTGATTGTGCCTATCAATTTTGGTGAGCATTTACCATCCTTTTTTCATTCCACGATTTTTGCCACCCATGCCTCATAGGGTGTACCGGCAGCTGCGCCGCTTCAAAGTCCACAGCAATTGTCTTGAAAGAAGACCCAATAGTGGGCCAACACGATAGATTTGGGCCAAACATGCCAAAAACAACAGGTCTGGGTCATGCCTGGTATCAAAAAGCGAAGTTTTGTATCCAAGTCCTATCCAAATAGCTTCGCAGCCATGGAGTGACGGTCTCTGTGTCCCGTGGCTGCGTCCGGGCAACCTGAAGCATCAACAGCTTGAAACAGGAAGTGTCACAGTCGCTGGGAAATGCCATTTGGAAGCGATGTGAGCAACTACTGGGAATTACTTGTATTTCCAACTGTTCCCTCCAAATTTCGTGACATCTCCGAAATCTACTCGGCCAATCTGTCCAAGAAAGATGTCAAATTTTGATGCCATTTTGATGCATTTGGTCTGAAGATTTTGGGTACCTCTCAATGTATCCCTGAATTTTCTCCGGCGGAAAATCATCATTTCCCCATGATTTTCCCGATGATTTTCCCATGATTTCCCCACAATTTCCATGGCCATTGACACCACCCCTGTGCCAAGGCCCTTCTTGGTGATGATGGAGCCGCCAGTCCTGGCCGAGGTTTGAAAGGAACCTGGTGGAACAGCGAAGCAACAAATTGGGGGTAACGATGCTTGGGGCAACTGCCACAAAATACATCAAAATACAACATGTATCAATCTATCATATATAGGTTGGGGAAATGCCATGAAGAATGTCATGGTAACATGATAACAATCAAACATGTTATATAACAATCAACAATCATAACAATCCTTACACCATGTCAAATTCACCATGAATCTGTTTAAGACGAAGAAACTTCCAGGTGGCCGAGACTCAGCTCGACGACTCCTCCGAAGGCGGCCATTTTATAGGGGTCGTCTGGGACAGCTGAGGTGCCATCTGTTTAAAAACATGTTTTGGAGGGATGAAGATGATGAAGACCCAGAAATCGCTATTTGGATGTGAAGAAAAGGGTACCAGGGTTTTGACCCAGGTCCATTTAGTTGGGATATTATTTCAATCCTCTGAACTCAAGTGTGAACCCTCAGATTCAGACCGGGCCAACATCAGAACTTTGATGATTGCCACCTGTGTTGGTTCGCATGCTGTCAGATGTCCCCTCGGGCGGAGCAGAAGTACCAGTGACACCACCACCCTCCAGGAGTGCAGGGGATGTCACACCGGATGGGCTTCGGCTCGCCTAGCCTAAAGAAAGCGATGGGGCTTCGAACAATTTCTGGTTTTTGATGTTTTTGTGAACCAAATCCAAGGTGTGTTATCAAAAGGGTTATGCTTTGCCGTCTTCCACATGGGCTGGCAGATGCCACAACTTTTCCTTGGAATTGACCGGTTGCTGCCGCAGGAAGCGGAAAGCCAGTGTTGGAGGTGCGCCCAGAAGGAATGATATTGGTTTGTAAGGCCCCAAGGTCGCCCCATGGGTCAAACACGGTACATCAGTTTCCATCAGTTTGGTTTCCCAGGGTCATTTTGGTGCTTTGTTTCTTGCTTTGGCTTTGATGCTTTTTGCTTCCTCCTGCTGATGATTTCTCCCAGCTTCGACTGCCAGGTGCTCTTGAGACTCCCTGCAAGACAAGCTGTCGGCGATCGCCGAGGTTGAAGGAGATGCGGGAGCGTGCTGCGGCAGCGGCTCCGGTCACTCCCAGAGTGGTGAAAGTGGAGGTCCCACAAAGCTTGGGACAAGCAGTACTGGCACTGAGTGGAGTGGAACTGCAGGCGCAACTTTCTGTTCGGGATCTGATGCGGACAGATGTTTTCTGAGGTGAACTATAATCTGACCAAAGCAGGGGGCAGGAAATGGAGGTGTTGTGATTGTGCTGAAGTTACTTTAAGTATTTCGAGACCATAAGATCCACCAAGTTCCCATGGTGGAACGCTGGATTGAACGACAAAGGAAGCACAGCATGCAGTCTCAAGGGTATCGGAATGATTTGAAAGTAGAGACAGTCCAAAGAAGATCCAAAAGCATCCAAAAGCTTATTTCCCAAGTCACAGACATGGAGGATTGACTACAGTGACTACAGCTTTATCCTATCCCGATTCCTTTGCCAAGACAGAAACAAAAAGCTTTTGCCTCAAACCCATCGAATGTCTAAGTGCCGGGCGCGGCGCAGCGGGGCTGATGAACCGAGCCTCTTCTTCGGCAGTGCGCGCTACCACAGAGGTCATCGTTTGGTGGCGCAGGGCTACAAGTATGAGAATCCCAAGTATCCCTTTGTGATCAAACACCAAAGAACTGGAATCTGGATGTGGACGTTTGCCATTGACGTGCGAGAGAAGGCCGGTCACAAAGGTCTGTGTGAGGGTGATTTTGTCCTCTATCACTACACTGACCTGGCATCCTTTCGCAAAATCACAAACCTTGAAGATTCCAAGCTCCTGGCGAACATGGATGTAAAGAAGGACAGCTATTTTGGCTTTGGTGTTTATGCGACTGTAAAAGCGCCTCACGAATGGAACTCCAAAGACGAGGTCCGTCTCAATAACTACTACCCAACGGCTGAAAACTTTCAGAGATCGAAAAGCATAGAGCTGCCTGGGCATGATATATCCTTGGATGATGCACTGCAAGGGGCGGTTGGAGACTATGTGAAGCAGAACTATCAAGGCAAGACGGATTGCTGCATCCCATTGATTGTGGACAAACAGGTGGCCAAGAATGCCATGGAAGAAGTCACTGATGGTGCTTTGATGCCTAACCGCCCCTTGTCTATGGCACTTTTGTCATTTTCTTATTTCTTGTTCTAGGCATGGCCTGGCAAAACTATTGCAAGGCATCAAGACGTCTAAGACAACCAAGGCAGAAAGAGGCTGGCGGGGCGCAACTGCTTCGGTGAGGTGCAGCCAAGTTGGCGTGACGTTTGGCTTATCTCCATCTACAACCAGAGTCAAGAGACTTGGTCAGATTCTGTCAGATTCTGTTGTATAGTGATGTATAGTGTGTAATTACTTTCCACACCTTTCCACCAAGTATATACGTAGATTATAGATGTAAGATGGGCTTCTGGTCTCAACCTCGCTGCACTTGGCTTATCTGGCTGCAATTTCTTGGATGTTCCTGTCAAGGACATTACGACTTTGGAAAACGCCCAGCAGTCATGGCTGGGTATCGTCGAGATCTTGGAGAAACGCCTAGAGTAGCTCTGCCGCAGTCCGGGCAATTGAGAGTCCCCATCTTGAAGTCCAACAATTGGATGTAATAGGTGGTCTATTGTGGTCTTGGAAGTTTTCCATTGCCAGGTTAGATTGCTCCTGCGTAACTCAAGATTTGTCATCGGCGTACAAAGTTGGAATGCTCACCCAGAAATACTGCTTTACAGTTTTACCCAACAAGCGGTTACCATGACTACGTACTGCTTTCATGCGTGAAACCAGTTCCTTTGATTCCTGGCATTTGCCATGCTTCATTGTTGTTCCATCTCTCATTTTTTCATGCTCAGACGCACGTTTGTGACTAAAAAAACAGACCATCAAGCAACTGTGGTATTTCAGCTGTATTTTGCACTTCACATTCCTTCGGTGCTACATGAAGTCATCATGGATCATGGGTGTTATGAAAGGAAAGTGCTGACCCTCATTGAATGATGGTGACGGGAACTATCCGAACATCACAGTAAAAACACCTGGTTTGAAGCAGTTAGCCAATCTCTTGGGCGCCGCACTTGCCTGGAATACAGGATACCCTCAAAGTGGTGATTTTAATGTGAAAAATGATGATAAACCATCAAGGTTGATAGCCTATTTTCAGACAAGTCCACCCCGATCCATTTTGAATCTTCGACGTATTTCGCTGGTGCGCCTGTGGGCTGATTTTGGGGTTGGGCAAAGATGTTTTTTTGTTTTTTTGAAGAGTTTCCAGGGTCAGGGATTCTAGGTATTGATGAATGTTGAAACTTGCCCCACAAAAGGACAAACATATGAATGCTTCCTAAGTATTTGCAATGCAAACAACTTTGGGGTGAAGACGCTTGAAGTTTCAGCGTTTAGACCAGATTCCGTGTTTACAAGGAACTTTAATTGAGGGACGCTTGGCTGTGAAAATTGGGTTCTAGTTTTTGTGTGACAAGGATATGAGCTGGGTTGGCAGGCCCTCATTTTGGGCGCATTGAATTCACACTTCTGATCTCTAGATCATGTTTTCTACACTTTGTGGGTCGTGAAATCCTCGTTGTGAAAGTGTTGGAGGCCTTCACTCAATTCTCCAAACTTTCCAAATTGTAAATATTTGCCGGAGAAAGAAGTCCTGTGCTGGCCGCATGTTCGTTTAGAAGGCACCCAGCAACTTTGGGGCCCGCAGATGAAAGTAGACACTTGGCACCTAATGAAACTATGCCTGGCAAACTTGGCCATACCTAGGAAGGCTTGTTCTGGGAAAGACATTCGCTGAACAAGGCTTATTCTCGAAAGTTCCTTCGATGGGCCCATGGGTTCCAAACAGGGGTTTTGGCCAAAACCTCAAACAAGGGAGGGTTTGGGTGTTATGATGGCAATGGCTCCCCCAAGAACACAAGATAAGCAGTACTAAGCTTTAGAAAGAGATGTGTCATCGTGAGGTTGTGAGCCTTGAATCTACGCTTTCCCGTGGACATCTACCAAACTTTGACACTCAAAGTGAAACAAGGAGACTGTCATAGGTCACTTGTAAAGACTGTGTTCAGTGACCTATGACACACACAGAGACACAATCCAATCTTTTGGTACTTGCACATCCCCAACCACACGGCTCTTGCACAATTTGATCTCCATAAACTCTATGTACGCCCAAATTCATCGCTATGTAATGTAGCCCAAGGCCTACACAAGAAATAATTGTCCAGTTGTTTATTTTTCACCATTTCCAAAACAGTTGCCCTATTTTATCAAGGTTTAGTAGGGCTTAACCGAAGCTTTTCAAGCATGTCAAAGGTTTATAGTGGATATTTGATCAAACCGTGTTTGTGCACAAGCTCCGGTCTTCTATTTTCATTTGCGGGGGCCCCCCTATCGTATGAACATGCCAGATGAGGAGCGACCAAGACGTTGAGGATTATGTGAAGTACGGCATGCAGAATTACCCGCAGATACAAAAGCGACTCTTGGTCAAAGTCATCGAGTTGAACCCCACGGATGCACTTGCATACAACAACCTTGGTGCTCAGCTGTCTAGAAAGGAGAAGATCCTGGTGTGGCGGAATGGTGAGAGCAAATGGGCCAGGAATAGAGATCTATACAAGGAAGCCATCGAGCTGGATAATGGCTGTGTGCCTGCATACCGCAATCTAGCCCTAACCCTTCCAAATAACCACTTGGAGATTGAGCTGCAGCTGAAAGAAGGAGCCACACATTTTAGAAAGAGCGATCTGCTCTTGAAAGCCATCAAGCTGGACAGTGCCTGTGCGTCTGCCTACCGCAACTTGGGCTTGACCCTTCCAAACAACCGCAGCAAGATTCAAGTGCAGCTGAATGGTAAAACTGGTGAAACCATAGACTTCACCAAGAGAGACCTGTTCTTGGAAGCAATAAGGCTCGACAACGGCCACGCACTTACGTACCTCTATCTCGGCTTGGCCCTTCCAAACGAGCGCAGCAGGATTTGGGTAGATCTCAAAGAGAGGCCCAGGTACTTCACACAGAGAGATTTGTTCAAAGAAGCGATTCGGCTTGACAATGACTGTGCATCTGCGTATCGCAGCCTAGGCTTATCTCTTCCAACGGATGATAGCGAAATCTTGGTGCAGCAGGGAGACAGTGATAGATGGTACACTAAAAGGGAGCTCCTTTTGCCACCTGTGCAGCCCAGAACACACTGGAGAGATCCATCGAAAGCGGGTCGCCGAAAGTTGGAGCTTAGTGGAGATTCATCTGTCGACAACAGGTGTATAGGAAGCTTGGCCATCGGATGAGACTATTCAGCGAAAGCTTCAACTACTGAGATGTTGTGTTGGACAGCATGGCTGCGCGGATGAAGCTGGTCCCTGAGGTCGCAAGAGATAGCGCATATGCTGCAGAAAGCAGCTTGGGACTCCCAAAGTTGTAGGGTTCTCCTACCCAACAATTGACCAACCACATGCTTGTGTTGTGTTTTTCTTGCAAGATTTTCGGACAGAAGACGCCAGTTTTGGATGGTTTTGGATGATCAAAGGAAGTTTAGGGGGAGAAACTTCCGTGTTACGGACTTTTAGAATGTCAGGGAAAGAGTTAGTCAAAGAAACAGTTAGTCAAAGAAACAGTTAGTCAAAGAAAGAGTTAGTCAAAGAAAGAGTTAGTCAAAGAAACAGTTAGTCAAAGAAACAGTTAGTCAGGGAAAGAGTTAGTCAAAGAAAGAGTTAGTCAAAGAAACAGTTAGTCAGGGAAAGAGTTAGTCAAAGAAACAGTTAGTCAGGGAAAGAGTTAGTCAAAGAAAGAGTTAGTCAAAAGAAGTCAGAGTTAGTCAAAGAAGTCAGTTAGCCAGGGAAAGAGTTAGTCAAAGAAAGAGTTAGTCAGGGAAAGAGTTAGTCAAAGAAACAGTTAGTCAGGGAAAAAGTTAGTCAAAGAAAGAGTTAGTCAAAGAAAGAGTTAGTCAAAGAAACAGTTAGTCATAGAAACAGTTAGTCAAAGAAACAGTTAGTCAAAGAAAGAGTTAGTCAAAGAAGTTAGTCAAAGAAACAGTTAGTCAAAGAAACAGTTAGTCAAAGAAACAGTTAGTCAAAGAAACAGTTAGTCAAAGAAAGAGTTAGTAAAAGAAAGAGTCAGTCAAAGCAACAGTTAGTCAAAGAAACAGTTAGTTAAAGAAAGAGTTAGTCAAAGAAACAGTTAGTCAAAGAAACAGTTAGTCAAAGAAAGAGTTAGTCAAAGAAAGAGTTAGTCAAAGAAACAGTTAGTCAAAGAAACAGTTAGTCAAAGAAACAGTTAGTAAAAGAAAGAGTCAGTCAACGAAAGAGTTAGTCAAAGAAAGAGTTAGTTAAAGAAAGAGTTAGTCAAAGAAAGAGTTAGTCAAAGAAACAGTTAGTCAAAGAAAGAGTTAGTCAAAGAAAGAGTTAGTCAAAGAAACAGTTAGTCAAAGAAACAGTTAGTCAAAGAAACAGTTAGTCAAAGAAACAGTTAGTTAAAGAAAGAGGTAGTCAAAGAAAGAGTTAGTGAGGGAAAGAGTTGGTGAGGGAAAGAGTTAGTCAAAGAAAGAGTTAGTGAGGGAAAGAGTTAGTCAGGGCATTGTGATTTGCAACTGTAGGATAGTTCCCGCAATGTAAATGGGATTGCAAGTGGTGCTGGTGGAGGAGTTGCCGATGGAGTTTTGGAGGAAGTCTCGCACGAAATGCGTTTTTGAGAGATAGCAGATGCACGAAACCCTATGTTTTTCCATACAAAGTGCGTCCCCTAACCTCGATGATCTACCTCTGCGGTGCGACGGGTGCGAGACGGTCTCGTGTGTGGTCGGATCATGCTCGGATCATGTTCGGATCATGGGCGGATCATGGTCGGATCGGTTCCGCATTGTAAATGGGGTGTCAACTGTTTTTCGTGCATGTGTGGTCGACAGAATTCCATTGTGATTTGCAACTGTAGGATCGTTCCCGCATTGTAAATGGGGTTGCAAGTGTTGCTGGTGGACGAGTTGCTGATGGAATTGCATTGTGATTTGCAACTTTAGGATCGTTCCCTCACTGTAAATGGGATTGCAAGTGGTGCTGGTGGAGGAGTTGCCGATGGAGTTTTGAGGAAGTCTCGCACGAAATGCGTTTTTGAGAGATAGCAGATGCACGAAACCCTATGTTTTTCGATACAAAGTCCGTCCCCGAACCTCGATGATCTACCTCTGCGGTGCGACGGTTGCGAGACGGTCTCGTGTGTGGTCGGATCATGCTCGGATCATGGGCGGATCATTCTCGGATCGGTTCCGCATTGTAAATGGGGTGTCACCTGTGTTTCGTGCATTTGTGGTCGACAGAATTCCATTGTGATTTGCAACTGTAGGATCGTTCCCGCAATGTAAATGGGATTGCAAGTGGTGCTGGTGGATGAGTTGCCGATGGAATTCCATTGTGATTTGCAACTCTAGGATCGTTCCCTCACTGCAAATGGGATTGCAAGTGGTGCTGGTGGAGGAGTTGCCGATGGAATTCCATTGTGCTTTGCAACTGTAGGATCGTTCCCGCAGTGTAAATGGTTGCGTCAAGGTTGCTTTTTGCTGTGGCTGCATTGGTAATACTATTGTCTTTTGCAGCTGGACTTCGTAAATCGTATTGGAGTGGCTGCATGGAAGGCTGCCACAGTGATTTGTCAGCAGATTTTCTTCATTTTGGCGCTAGTGAATTTCCTTCTAAACATCCTTTTAGAAAGTGCTTCAAAATCGTCTTTTTTTCGCTCTGGCGTCGAGATCCTGTTTTGGAGCTACAATTTCCGACGCCGTTGTGCGTAGTTCTATTGTGTTTTGCAACTCAGTCTCTGCAGATCGCATTGTAATGGCTGCGTCAAGGTTGCTTGGTGCCGCGGCTGCATGCGTAATACTATTGTCTTTTGCAGCTGGACTTCGTAAATCGTATTGGAGTGGCTGCATGAAGGCTGCGACATTGATTTATCAGCAGATTTTCTCCATTTTGGCGCCAGTGATTTTCTTTTTAAAAATTCTTTTAAAAAGTGTTTCAAAATCGTCTTTTTTTCGCTCTGGCGTCGAGATCCGGTTTTGGAGCTACAATTTCCGACGCCGTTGTGCGTAGTTCTATTGCGTTTTGCAACTCAGTCTCTGCAGATCGCATTGTAATGGCTGCGTCAAGGTTGCTTCGTGCTGTGGCTGCATTTGTAATACTATTGTCTTTTGCAGCTCGACTTCGTAAATCGTATTGGAGTGGCTGCATGAAGGCTGCCACAGTGATTTGTCAGCAGATTTTCTCCATTTTGGCGCTAGTGATTTTCCTTCTAAAAATCCTTTTAAAAAGTGCTTCAAAATCGTCTTTTTTTCGCTGTGGCGTCGAGATCCGATTTTGGAGCTACAATTTCCGACGCCGTTGCGTGTAGTTCTATTGTGTTTTGCAACTCAGTCTCTGCAGATCGCATTGTAATGGCTGCGTCAAGGTTGCTGCGTGCTGTGGCTGCATTCGTAATACTATTGTCTTTTGCAGCTGGATCTCGTAAATCGTATTGGAGTGGCTGCATGAAGGCTGCGACATGGATTTGTTAGCAAATTTTCTCCATTTTGGCGCTAGTGATTTTCTTTCTAAAAATCCTTTTAAAAAGTGCTTCAAAATCGTCTTTTTTTCGCTCTGGCGTCGAGATCCGATTTTGGAGCTACAATTTCCGACGCCGTTGCGCGTAGTTCTATTGTGTTTTGGAACTCAATCTCTGCAGATCGCATTGTAATGGCTGCGTCAAGGTTGCTGCGTGCTGTGGCTGCATTCGTAATACTATTGTCTTTTGCAGCTGGATCTCGTAAATCGTATTGGAGTCGCTGCATGAAGGCTGCGACATGGATTTGTTAGCAAATTTTTTCCATTTTGGCGCTAGTGATTTTCCTTCTAGAAATCCTTTTAAAAAGTCCTTCAAAATCGTCTTTTTTTCGCTCTGGCGTCGAGATCCGATTTTGGAGCTACAATTTCCGACGCCGTTGCGCGTACTTATATATTGTGTTTTGCAACTCAGCCTCTGCAGATCGCATTGTAATGGCTGCGTCAAGGTTGCTGCGTGCTGTGGCTGCATTCGTCTTACTATTGTCTTTTGCAGCTGGATCTCGTAAATCGTATTGGAGTGGCTGCATGAAGGCTGCGAAATGGGTTTGTTAGCAGATTTTCTCCATTTTGGCACTAGTGTTTTTTTTGTTGGACGTACGTTTAGAGCAGTGTGAAGTGTGGGGCGTGAAGAGTGCAGTGTGAAGTGTGAAGTGGGAAGTGCGAAGTGTGAAGTGTGGAGTGTGAAGTGTGGAGTGTGAAGTTTAAGTTTGGAGTGCGAAGAGCGCAGTGTGAAGTGTGAAGTGTGAAGTGTGAGGTTTGGAGTGTGAAGGAAGGAGTGAGAAGTGTGAAGTGTGGACTGTGAAGTGTGAAGTGTGAGTGAAGTGTGGAGTGTGAAGTGCGAAGTGAGAAGTGTGAAGTTTGGAGTGTGAAGTTTGGAGTGGGAAGGGAGCAGTGAGAAGTGAGAAGTGTGAAGTGTGGACTGTGAAGTGTGGAGTGTGAAGTGCGAAGTGAGAAGTGTGAAGTTTGGAGTGTGAAGGAAGCAGTGAGAAGTGAGAAGTGTGAAGTGAGAAGTGTGAAGTGTGGACTGTGCAGTGTGGAGTGCGAAGAGCGCAGTGTGAAGTGTGAAGTGTGAAGTGTGGACTGTGAAGTGTGAAGTGTGAGTGAAGTGTGGAGTGTGAAGTGCGAAGTGAGAAGTGTGAAGTTTGGAGTGTGAAGGAAGCAGTGAGAAGTGAGAAGTGTGAAATGTGGAGTGTGAAGTGTGAAGTCTGAAGTGCGAAGTGAGAAGTGTGGACTGTGAAGTGTGAAGTGTGGACTGTGAAGTGTGAAGTGTGAAGTGTGGACTGTGAAGTGTGCAGTGCGAAGTGTGGAGTGTGAAGTGTGAAGTTTGGAGTGCGAAGAGTGCAGTGTGCAGTGTGCAGTGTGAGGTGTGAGGTGTGGAGTGTCGAGGGAAGGACACGGTCGGGACAGGTTGTCTTTGAACTATAGGTCATTTATGTTTGGGAAACTTCCGCCGCCGGCTTGCCCGGGTCTATGTTATGTTTGTCTTGATTGGTTGAGCGTTGAAGGATTGTGATTTTTCACCATCCCATTCCCAAGGTGGCCCACTAGCCGCCCCATAGCAAGTTTGATCCCGGTCTGATCCCCCAGCTGGTAGATTGGTCGAAGAACTGATGCTACAGAACCAACCGAGTTAAGAAAGAAGGATAGGATAGGCTGTTGCGGCTATCCAAACCGCCAGGAATCTTGGGATTTTTTAGCTCCAATGACTGGCTGATAACATCTGATAACATGATCAGCCAGTCAATGTTCATACGATGAGACATGCCCAGTTAATCAATTGTTTCTTGGGTTTGAACCACACCTGTAGCTACTTGTGGATCAAAAATATCCAAACACTGGAAAATGTATGAATCCCTTCCCTACAGCAAAGTATCGAGGTATATATATACACCTGTACATACTACTATTTTCAATACCTCACAAAAGAAACCCTGATTCATCATTGGATCTATTCATGAATTGGGAGCCTATCTATAGGGGTATTGAATCTCAAGGAAGCGGGATTGCTCAAATGACCCATCATTTCTCACTCAAATGGAACAGATAGGCAACGAACATTATTTCACATTTAGGGATAGGTCACAACCTATCTTACAATATTTCGAGGGATGAACGTCCATGGAAACCCAGCTACTTTGATATGAAGAACAGGCTACCGGGTTTTGATTCATAGCCATTTGTGTATGAAATTTAATTCAGCTTGTCCCAGAATGCTTGGGAAAATCTACAGCAAAGCCCTAAAAATTGGTGTGAGGAACCATTCTTTGGTGGGTCGGTTTAGCTAAGTTGACTTAGGGTCACCAAGGTGGATGGCGTAACACAACTGTGGAGCTGCACCTAACGCAATCATCCCCAGTGATAGTTGGTCAATCCCTGTTACAACTCTTGTAGAATATATACATATATGTATTACATATCATATATACATATCCTATATATATATATAAGTATATATATATATATATGTATTACGTGTATACATACCCCCTAGGTATGATAGTTACATAGTGGATTCAATTTCTGGTTACAACTCTGCCTGGTTTCGCAGGCAGCGCATGTCCGAAAGCTGCGGCACCTGGGCTCCGCCGAGGTCACCAAGACCTGGCAGCCGGAGGCCCATGGGGATTTCACATGGATTTCACCGAGCTGAAATAGGTGATTTAGCCATGGATTTTGCCATCTAAAGGAGGGGGAAAACCATCCAACGGGGATCTAATGTTTTTTTTTAAATGATGATTCTGGGGGTGTTTTTTATTGGAGACCCATGAAACATCACTGAAGCATTGAACAAAATGTGGAAAGCGATTTGGTGAGGGGTAACCCAGTTTTGAGAAATTCCGAGATGGAGGTTTAACCAGCCCAAAACCATGAGTTTTAACCATCAAACATGATGAAAAAATGGTGGATTTCACCGACATGCCGGAGATGTCACGGACAGAAACGGTGTTTTACGGTGGCAGGTGACACATTTGGTGGCCAGCCGGCTCCGGCGCACCTTCAAGATGATGTGCTGGGCTCAGAACTTAAGGACTGGGGTATGGATCAACCATAGATTAATCATAGATTAACCATAGATTATCCATATATCAACAATTAAGGACTGGGGGACTGCAGATTTTGGAGATACCAGATACCCAAAAAAATGACTCTGACAGCCATTTGTTGCCGCAAAAACTGTGACGTTGGATTCAAAAAAATCTTATTCCAGCTTGGCTGTCCATGGATCGGGCAATTCGAGGTGCGCCATTTGCAAGGGCTTGCCCATTGTTCGGCCTTGCTTTGTTGCCCGTTGTGCTCACTTGGGTGTCGTGCCCGAGGCAGGGGACGACTGGGACTCCCTTGGGGGTCCTTAACTTAATGCCGATTTGCGCAGATTACCCACTACATCTTTGTCTAAGATCTCTAACGCAAATTTCAGACGCCCACTCCTGACTATGGGGAATGTTTCTTAACCAGCTCCCTCCGCTGAAGTTACTGAATGACCGTGTTTTTGCATGTGTTGGCAGCAGGGGGGGTAAGTCAAAGAAATTTAAACTACCTTTTAGCTGGATGTTTGAAACCATTTTTGGGCTGAAGTATACTTTTCTTTTTTTTTGGCACATGAGACTCTATCAAATTTATGCGCTTGGCTTGCTCTAGCACTGACAGTTTCACAGAGTTATAGCTATGGGGGGTGCAAATGGCCACCCACAAGAATCGAGTAGCATGCGATTGCATACCGTGTGTAGTTTGAGTGTTTAGATTCTTAAAAGAAACCGTAAAATAACGTTGTTTTAATCTTTTTAAACTATTTTTTTAAGACTGAGTTTGACCATTCTGTCCACCCCGAATTACAAGGGTTTCAATCCCAGACAACGATTAGAAGGATTAACCATTGCGATTGGGACCTTGCTGATTTCGAAGAGAACAGTACGGCATTCTGAAATCTATGGGCTTACAGATTCGCACATGTAGAACACACACACACACATAATATATATATATATATAGATATGTACGTATGTTATGTGTCGATTGTATCCATGTATCTGTCTCTGAAAGATTTTTATGAAAGTATGGAATGGACTGGACTGGAATGAAATGGAATGGAATGCAATGTTATAATATGTTGTGTTATGCTATGCTATGCTATGTTATGTTATGTTATGTTATGGTATCTATCCATCCATCCATCCATCCGTCCGTCCGTCCGTCCGTCCATCCATCCGTCCATCATCCATTCATCCATCTACCTACACTTATGATGATGGATACCATTCCATTCCATTACACCACTTTACTTTATTTTACATTTCATTCCATTACATTACACCACATCACATCATATTACATTACACTATATACAAACACATGATTATATATATACACATTGTAGATGTGTATCATGTGTATAAGTGGGATGATGTTCGCAACTCTGATTCAACTCTCACCCAATTACAACATCAACTCAGTCTTCATTGGGTTTAATATAGCATTGGTGATACAATCTATTCAGTTCTTATTCAGTTCTTTGGTTAGCTTCATGAGTGATATTATGTATACTGTACATACAGTAGTATTGTTTCAATATTAGCATCAGAAACCTCAATTGGGTAACAGTATTAGAACTGGTAAAGATATTGCAACATTGTATGTACCTCCAGCATGATTACTAGATTACTGGTAAAGTTATCACAATCAATTTGGTTTACCAGTCATTTCCCCATCTCATCAGTTCCATCCCCCATGGTGGTCCCATGTTTTTCAGCGTGCCAGGTGCGGTCACAAGATCTGCTGAGAGACCGTTTGGGCGAGAAGATCTTCGCCTCGCGCTTCAGTAGCTTGGCGTACCGACCGGGAGAGGACTGGGATAAAGATTCGGACCTCATTCTTATATACAGTATATATATATATGTATGTTTATAATTGTTGATATATATATATATGTTTATGTATATGTTGTTTGGGTTTGATGGTGTTGGAAACCATTGTTGCAAGCTCAGGTACGATTCATGGATGTTCTTAGAACAGTATGTTCTCAAGGAACGACCTCAGCAAAGTGGAGGTTCTTTGCGATGATCATATGAAGCATGGCTTAAATCATTTTTGATCCTCCCAAAACGGATGGATTGACACCAAAAACGACCAGTCTTGTGGTTTCATTTCTTCCCAGTTATTGACCCCAAAGCCATATCTGAGCCAACAAAAATCTTCAATACTGGGGTAATCACATCTGAGTCAAACAAATCCTCAATACTGGGGTAATCCAAAAAAGTTGGGTCTTAACCACCAAGCATTGAGCACTGGGAACTCGCAGGTGCGCCAGACTACAGCCTGGCAGATGTGACCTCGCTGGCGCTGCAGGGACCCTTGCTGCGGAAGTATCGGGTATACGTCTCGAAGCAGGCGACCCAGGGGCGTCACTCAGACGGATGGGGGGTTGGTCAAAAATGGAGAATTGACATTGAAAAAGAACATCAAAAGACCATCAAAAGACAGCAAAGAGTCTGGGGGGTTTAAAAAAGTTTTTTCAAACAGCCCCAATGGAGCGATGGTTGCGACAGTCGATTCTTGAAGATTCTGTTAACCCATCCCACCGGGATGATCCTCCCTTGATGCTCCACGTAGGAAAAGGCCATGGAGCGCAGCAAATTGGAGGCCCTAGTGACAGCCGCTGGCGGCACATGGCTGGAGGTCGGGGCGACGTCTTTCAGCATGCCATGTTTGATTGAGGGTATCGCCATTTCACAAAACTTGCCGTGACTTAGGGTATAGTCTAATGTGGTATGTATGTATATGTATGTATATATATAATATAATATAATATCATATAATATAATATAATATAATATCATATAATATAATATAATATAATATAATATCAGACAATATAATATGATATAATATAACATAACAAAATATAATATGATATAATATAATATGACAAAATATAATATGATATAATCAATACGATATGATATGATATGATATGATATAATTTAATGATACAATACAAGACAATATAATATAATATAAAATAATATAATATCATATTATATTATATTATATTATATTATATTCTTTTTTGTCCCTTTTGGGACAAACCCATTAGGGTCTAACTTTTGGGCTAGTGCACAGCAATAATTTGGTCCAGCATAAAGGGAGTTGAGAGCCTTGGTTGCGAGTTCCAGAATCATCCGCGAGATCGCAAGTTTGAACGCTTGTGGTTGACATGCCAATCGCATTGGCCCATGTCCCTTGGTAACCATGATTCGTAATCTGGGTTGTGATCTTTCGACATTCCCAGCCTTGATTTTGATCCTATCTGATTGTTCTTTGCTTCGGCAACTTTCTCGGTGAACGAGCTTCATTTTCCATCCGGGGCAATGCGATAATGATCCCCGTTGACTTTTCCTATTTTTATTCATAGTTTTCTTCTTAGTGGAGGCTTAACTGAACTACCAGGCAGATGATCACTTCGCAGGATCACTGGTCAATATCCTCATTCTGGATACTTTTGGCGGGCTCATGGCCGACCAATCCCTCAAAAACGATGGTCCACTGTAGGAACATCAGTAAGTTCATCACCTGACACCAAGGAACTATGAATCATTTTGTTAGTATGACCTCATTTTCAAAACGCGCTCTTTTTTCAGCTCGGCTGCGGTAAATCGTCGCGATTTTTTGTTGGTGACACCTCCGGATCGCATCGGGATGGTTTTTCAGGAGCTTCCGGCCGAGCGTTCCCACGATCTGCTGGTCTTCGGTCCGGTGCAGGGCAGATCCTACGACGTGGAGGTGGCGTGGAGACGGAGACGGAGAGGATTCCTAGCTTTGGGGGTGAGGATTCCTAGCAAAAAAATGATAGTCTGTAGGATTATTTTGATACAGATAATCCCATTTTGATTCCTGGATTCGAAAAAAAAAATCCCCCATTCACACAACTGGTGCATGCACAATCTTCTGCATCTGAGGGTGTATGTGAGCCCATTGGAAGACTGGTGAAAGGACCATTCAATGGGACTCTACGAACGTCTTTATGGGGGCGCTAGGGAGTTCCGAGATATCTATGTGGCTCATATGGTCTTCCAGAAGATTTTCCGCATTTGAATCTGGATATAGGCATTGCATCCGCTTCTCCTCTTACATCTGCATGGGCGAAACATATCCATCGTCCAAAAGGTTTTGATGGTGCCTTGTCTTGAAATGGTCCGAAAAAGTTACCTCCAGGTTTCTTTGGAGCTGATGATAAGAACGAAACTACCATCCTCCCAGCAAACATGACGACGCTGCCATGAGTTGGGGGGTTGGACAACTACTTTAGGATGGGCGATTCTCAGGCTTTATGCTGGTTTGGGGGATGGTACAACCCACAGGTGTCTATGATTGGTGAATTTCCTGAAACCGGACAACAGTGACTGCCACGATCTGCCATGATCTGCGGCAGGCACTCTTTGAAGCAGCTTGTACTCAGCAGTTAGAGCGCCTAGAGGCGACGCTGCAGGATACAGCCGATACAGCCTGGCGAACGAAGATATGGGGATGTGTTTGGCTACCTTGGTGAATAGTATGAATAGTGCATAAATGATGAGTAATCGTATGCAATCGTCAATGCTTGACATTTTAACACATTCAACATGGGTCATGCCAGCCATCGGTTGGGATGAACATCCAGCTGCTGCCTGTTGCTTCTCGCCGGGATGGTTCAGTGGATCTAGTGGTTTGACTCCTAGCTGACCATGAATGGTGCATGATTTCCGATAGCCCAGGTGGCCGGGAAAATCCCCCCCGATTTATAGGTGACCTTCCAAGTGAAGATTGGGATCTCTCCTTGCCACAATTGACTACTAGAGGGTGCCTAACTTTTGAGAGCATCCGAAGTATAATGGTGAAGAGCGATTACAGTATATAATATAGAGCGATGATATAATATGATATAGTAATATTCCTGTTTCGGGAGAGATGATTTCGGTTCAAGATAGTCTAGTTCCATCTAGTTCCTGTTGCATGATATGGATCTGGGTAAATTATAACGACCTCACTGTTCTCCCTCACTGGAATCATGGTTAGTAAGGGAAATCATCCCCAAATGGCCCAACAATTCAGGTTGGTGAAACGAAGACAGTTTCATGATGCATCGCCTTTCAGGCCTTCGCCCAAAGCGCGCGAAAACAGCGACAACCGCCGACAACCGCCAGCGCCCCCAAAAAAAAAAGGCCATCGGAGCAGTGACCAGTTGACCTGGTTGACCCGTAGATGATGTGAATTTATACAATTTTATACATCAAATATGGTTTTTAAGTGCCCAAAACATGGGTTGAAGTACCAAACATGAGGATGTAGATGATGTAGTTGATATTAGTTGATAACTTATGGTCGGGTGATGTTGTTGTTTGCTGGTAAAAGGGGTGGGGTTATAATTCCTGACTTCTTCTGACCGATTTTTTTCCGGTTCACCGAAAGACATAGCAACATTTTGAGCCAAACCTCGGTTTTGCATGCATGCAGCTTCCAAAGCGCTGACACCATAACACATAGGTTTCAAACATACCAACATGGTGTAGCATGGGACACTAAGTTGGCTCCTTGTTCCATTTTAGATGGATTAGATGCCCCATCATGATACAACATGTCACCCAAAAACCAAATCAAAGGCAGACTTCCCTGAAGAGTCGCGACCCCAAAAACACAATTGAAGTAAACAATTTGGCAAGCTGAGCTGACCCCATGAGTCAATCAGTGATGAATCTTGGGGAACACCATTGCCATTTGGCCCAGGACGCTTCAAACACAGCGCAGCTTCCCATCTTTGCAGGTTCAGGTCGCTCATTTTATGTGGAGATCCTGGTTTTGGTTGATCTCAAATGGGTTTAGTACAGGACATTTTAAGGATCATTTCGTACCTTAAACATCATTAAACATCACTAAACATCATTAAACATCATTAAACCGTATTAAACCCATGAAGAAATCCACGAACTTGGCTTCAACCCCTGACCCCCCGCCATGGCACCACGGCGCGGCTGCGACTCGTTTTTCTGTGGCTGGCGACTCGTGGGACTCCTGGCGGTGCTGGCGACCAGGTGTTCGGATGGTGAATGAGTTTCAGTTTCATAAGACTCATCCCATGGTTGATGACTTGATAAGCCATCAAAATATATCAAAATCCATCAAAATCCCATGGTTTCTGCTGGTTGATCACCATATATGGCTATGGATTAATACCTATACATACCATTTTTAGGGGGATGAACATCCATAAATCCCAGCTATTTTGATGTGAACTACAGGGGGATAGGGTTTTGACCCATCCCCATATTTGTATTATGATTGTAAAATGCTGGTGAATTCATGGAAAATGCTGGTGATGTTTGTAAATGCTTAAAAAATATATTTGTCTTTGATAATTGAAACGTTTGAAACTGTGTTTGAGCAGTTTAACGGTTGTTGGCAGGTAGCAACTTTTTAATCATTCTTGAGAATGGTGATCGATGGTTGGGTTGTTTGCGCGGGGATCAATAGAAGTGACCCAACCGGACGCAAATGACGATCCTTAAGCGGAGAAGCGGGATCTTGCTGAACAACATGGAGGTCTGATGAAATGAAGAGGGGATGGGTTATTCAGTAGAGGATCTTCTGGGATGAAACTATTTAAGAAGTACAGGGCAGCAGGGTGCAGCAGCTCGCAGCAGGTCGCTGGTTTGAAATGGATGATCTGCATTTTCTTGCTGAATCGCCGGTTTTTCTTGCGAATGCTACCCGCGTTAAAAAGCCACTTTCGCCGGTTGGAGAACCCAATGGGATGAGATTTGACCCACCCTTCGCCACCAAGATGCAACAAGTAGAAACGACCAACTGTGCAGATATCGCTACCTGGCGATATTTTGCAATAGCAATAGCCTGCCATTCTTGATGGGAAAATCACATAGCTGGATTCCAATATGATATAAATGGAGAGTATCCTTTGCCAGGTTGGAATACCAGAGAGCAGAACCAGCAAAACCTTCATGTTTTCCATTGTCAACTCCCCATCTTTCATCGTAAACATTCCATGTTTCATAGCTTCAATCATCTTAAATCCACATGTTGGCTGGTTTCAACGCCAATTTTCATGGCTTAACGCATCATTCTTGATGGTTCAATCACCACTTCTTGATGGTCAGAAGCTCCTCCGCTATGGAGGCGGTTGCAGTTCATTGCGGCCTTCGCATCGGGGCCTGCACTGGACAAAAAGGCTGTGCCTCAACCCGACCTGGGAAACTGCAGGGTTTTTTTTGCGGAAACTGCCAGGCTCGTTTAGATTTCTGCTTGAAAGATGGTAAGACAAGGACCCTTTAACCGTTAACTCCAATCTAGACTTTAGGTTGAAAACAGACATGGTTTCCCAATTGTGGTCCACGAATTTTGGAATGATTTAAGCTGATGGCGAAGTTGGACCTTCTAAGTGCCTGGTTGTGTAGATCCCCATGTTATCGAGATGTGAAACGGTTCAGCGTAATTGCCCAGCTCCAAGCCCAACAGTGCCCAACTTGGGTCGGTCCAAACCGACCCCATCAACCTCATTCATACATCAGCAATACCCAAGCCAGTTAGTTGATGGTTGCTATAAATGATGGATCACACTGGCTGCCGCGAATCAGATAGGACTCACGAATTGGGAATCCATGTGTAACGGAAGGTGAATCAGGCATTGCTCAATTGACCAGTTTGATGAATCATATTTGGAATATTTGACAGATGACTTATTATACCCTTTGTTTTGAAACTTATATATATATCTATATCCTTTCTCTCCATGAACACACCCACACACACCGGGAAGCACTGGGTCAGTTGTGGATCATGAGTTGCTGTCATTGGTGGATAGCCCAGATAGGGATAGCCGAAAAAGATCGAAACGATCCGGAGTTTTCCATCACCATCAGTCACCAGTTTTTGTGTGATCCTGCTGGTTACCATCGGATCTTGGGATGATAAACCCAGTGCTGTTTTGGTTACAGGATGGCCATTGAGTCCCTGTGTTTGTCCAATGTCCAAGCAATTCTTAGATGAAATTCACCAAGTTTTGATTGGCAAGAAACTAACTTTGGATGCTTCAAAACCAAAATTTCAGATAAAGTCCCACATGCAGAAATCCCAATTTTTAGGACGATTCACGCCTAATTTTGCTTGGCAAATCCCATTTTTAGATGCTGAAATCCATCATTTGTCCCAGCTTCGACCCCAAGGTCCCCTTGCAGCACCTCGTCACTTCAGCACCGCTGCTGCGCGGCACAAAGGTGGGCGGCGACGATGCACCGGTGGTGTTTCTGTTGGACAAACATGCCCAGCCGCTGGGACCGAAAAACCGGGGAAGGGAATCCAGTCAGGGGGATGGCTCTATGTTTTTTTTGGATGACGTGTTTTTTTTTTTTGCGCGGTTGTTGTGGTATTTTGAGGGTTCAATGAGTGGTCTTTGGTAGCTCAGTTTTTATGATGTTTATGCATGTATATATATATACACACATATACATAAGTTGAATTTAGATCAATCATTTTTGGGGCTTCCTAACTTTGACCCAGGTGGGTATGATACCATCTATGAGACCCAGGAAGAAGTTTGGTGAAAGCTCCGCCTCTAAGGCACCTCACGCGATACATCCTCGAGGAGCCAAGGGGTTTTCAATGAGAGATTCATGGAGATCCCCCAATAGCTGGTGAGTTTATCATTTTTAAAAATCCGAACGTCACATGGATGATGAAATATCATGAAATGGGGTACCCCCATGACTCAAGAAACCTCCATATTGGGGAAAGCCATCAAACGTGACTTACGTGACTTTTGATCATCAACCTTGAGACTTGTAAATCGTCCAGATTGAATAGCTTACTTGAGATCGGTTCAACGCTCAATGGACGAGTTTTGGGCAGAAAGGAATTGAACACTTGGCAGACTTGGCAGTGACTGTACACAATTCATCATCTCACTGCAGTCAGATTCCCAAGTCTTTTGGGCGCGCGAAAGATTTTGACAAACTCAACCGACTCAACCAGTCTGATTGGATTCAAACCTCAGCACTATGCCCTGGACAGGTCAAAACAAAACACCCAGGACTCCTCTTGTGGATTTGCCACCATCGTTCCCTCGTTAGGGCCGTCGTTCTCCTCTTGGGCAGGACCCCGACGGCCCTTTCCATGCAAAGACCTTGGAGTGGCCACAGCGTCTCTACGATGATGTCCATGGCAAGAATGAGCCCGACGACGAGGATTGGGTCGATGCGGAGAACTGGAAACGCTGGGATTTTCAGTTCTCGAAACGGGAGCCCTTCATGCTGAAAGCCGATTGGCACCTTGGAATGCCTTGGAATACCTTGGATGGCTGGGAAGGGCGCTTGAAGTTGGCTTGATATGGGACTGCAGCTTTTAGGAGCTCAAATTTGGAGGTTTAGATAGCCCCATGATTTCCACAACGTAAGCCATTCTACCATATGGCAATTTAAACATAGCTCTTGAAGATCACCATGTTGAATAGGTAAATCATGGTAATACATGGTCACTCTCCATAGCTATGTCAAACTACCAGGTTGGGCGCATGGATTTCTGGTCGAAATCTCGAGGCATTCAGTGCCTGGATGGGGCGACTCCTTCGAAATCTTCGTGCCGCGGAAGAACAAGGTGATGCCTGTGAGACAGGCCAAACTTGGGGCCCCACTTCCTAAATGGGCCAAGAACCAGTGATATATGGAATATCCCCACTTAATCCCACTTATATATGGGATTATATGGGTTATAGCTATAATTATATCTATATCTATATCTATATCTATGTCTATGTCTATATCTATATCTATACATTCATACATTATATATATATTATATGGATGTGGTTTATAAATGTTTATAAACCACTTACTAAGTGGGATGCACATCCAAGCACTGATCACCGTGGGGATTTTCTTACGGGTAAAACATGTTACAACCATTTACCCTCTGGTAATTTAACATCGCTATGGAAAATGGCCATTTATAGTTGATTTACCCAGTAAAAATGGTGGTTTTGAATAGTGATGTAAACGTTTACCAGAGGGTACAATCATTTTCCCCATTTTTTGGGATGACCATCCATGAATCTAACGCAGCCATGTTATTTTGAGGATACCAGGCTGAACTGACCCGGACCGCCATGTGTCGTTTTCTCGTCGTGCCAGCAGAAATTCTTCATTCCATGCCCCTGGGGTTGGCAGCTGATATGAATTTGTTGGATGAACTATGGTAGCTATGATGAACTCAAACCAGCATGGATGATCTCCAATACTCTCCAGCTGTTTTAATAGCATCCGATTCTCGTCATTTCTGCCAGCTGTGATTGGCGTTCGAAAAACAAAGGTGACTAGCCTGACTGGTTGCAGGATTTGTTGCAGGATTTGTATAATTTGTGTTAAGTTACCATAGAAGATTTGGAGAATCCGGCAATCCTATTTTTTTTGGCCGGCTTCACCACCAGGCGCCATTGAGATTGGTTGCCTTTCTTGAAGCCTTCCGAAGGGTGAACGAGGCGAGGTAGGACTAGGAAATCCGGGCAATCCGGGTAATTACTTTCTGACATCACCCCCCAAAAAACTTTAGTTGGTGAATATGAAGCTAGATCATTTATATGGGTTTGTCTGAAAATAGGGTATATTCCCAATTATAGCCATTTAATAGGGATAATGATCATTAACCATTGGGTTTAGGGGTACACTATTTTCAGACACACCCATATGTCAAAAGTCATGATACCATATGGGGTTGCTCCCCTTAAAGCAGGATACTTCTACGGTGGGGTTTGGATCCACACCCAGATTGAAGTTGGAGAGCGGCTCGTGAAGCCCGGTGAAGCAACCGGGCATTCGATCGCACTGCCAGATCTCAGAGAGCTTGAAAAGAATCCGTCTTGTTGCAACATCACACTTACTGAGACCTACTGTACCACCTAATTACATTCTATATAAATATATATAATATGTAATGTACATTAATACATTAATGTACAGTATGCGATCTACGTCCTACTAAGTGATACACCAAACCAGATGAAATGCTGTGAGTTCACCTAGTTCACCTGGACCAGGAGTGCTGGCAAGAGATCCTTGCTGAGCTGAGAGTGATGCAAGCTCAGAAGCCCGATGATTATCCGAGGTCGGGGAATGAATCGATTTTTGGCACGTTTTTTCGTGGAGTTTTTTCGCAAAGCTTGAAGGTTCAACCGTGTGGTTTTTTAGCCAAGAATGAGCCACAACGACCCCCCCCATTTTTTGAGGTGTGCAACCTCCAACACCATAGCTTCTGCCGTGGTCTCTGAAAGACCTTGTTCCATTGAACTTAATTTCCAAGGTCGTTTCAGATATGGTGAGCTACAGATCTTCCAATCATCCCCTCCTATTCAGGATCCCACTGCTATGGCAGGTTTGTGAAAGGCCCTCTAAATCACACATCGGGGTATGGGCAATTTGCAGCGGATGATCATCATTTGCTTGATGGTGTCCAGTTTGTCTTGTCCTCCACCTAAGACGATGAAGATGATGCCAATGTAGACATTTCAGAGGTGTGATGCAACCAAAGCACCCGTGATGGAGGCTTCATTTTTCTTCTCATCCTCTGTACTTCGGGAATTTCACCAATTTAAAGCGTTCAGAAAAAAGCTTGCTGGAAGATGGTTCAATCCTGCTACTGCGTTACTGTGGCTGTCCATTTCTGTTGGGTAAGATTTTAAATCCAATTCTTTTTTGTCTAAAGGCACAGTTTTGTTTGATCTCAAATCTTTTTGGAGAGAGGCCAACTTTTACTTCTTGAACTTCAACCCCTTTGGTGATCGAGAAAATCCCGGTGTGATTATCTGACTATCATTGTCAGTATCATAAACGATATTGTTGAGCACTTGACTATACTATATGGACATATATTGACCACATCAACAAAACTAGGCCCAGTATGTATGACTACATTTGTATAAATAGATAAATAGTATATATATATTGTATACATATATATATATTATATTATTACATACATATACATATATATATGTATTTGTATTGATATTGGTCTCTATTGAGTAGACCTAATCTCTAGGCCTAGTGATTCGCCATGGCAAAACGTAGGAGTCGTTTGCTGCGGATTCTCATCGAGGACTTCGAAGAGCGCGGCTTCTTTGGGGCCATCGAAGCGCAGGTGAAGCAATGTGGTTTTTCGACGCTGGGTAAGTTGAAATTTTGGGATGGGAATCATCAATCCACTAGAGATTTTGCTATATATCTATACATATATATATATATATGTGTTATCTATACATGATGTTTGGAATTCCGAATGATGGTGGGATGAACATACCCCAGATGCCATGTTTTGAACATGGCACATATCTTGTCAAAAGCCGTTCTTGTTCTGCGTTGCGGTTTAACGGTCTCACCAAGAAATATGGTTTAGTATGATTAGATTTAGCCAAGAAGAACGCTGATTTGGCCAGCGACAAACAGGGATTTAGCCAACGCATAGGGATTTAATCACTGATCAGTCATTCAACGAACAATGAGGGGTTAAGCAACAAGAAGAGTGATTTGACAAAGGACACATGAACATTTCGCAAGCAAGTTTGTCTTTTGTCAACACACTGGATAGCATCCATGTTGTTCGTACGCAGCAACAGCTGGGTATACAACCAAGAACAACAGTAAGGAAAAGCGACTGAAACTTACGGGCAACATCGGCCACTGGCAATAAAATCTGGGAAAGCAGATTCTACTTTGTTTGGCATAGAATCTAGCTACTGAAAAGTCATGGTAGAGATTCCAGTACCCAGTACCTACCCTCGTTTCCACTGAATTATCATTGGTTTCACGCTAAATTCCATTCAACACCATTAAATCCCACTAAATCCCATGAAGTGAAACACCATTAAATCCCACTAAATTCCATTCAACACCATTAAATCCCACCATTAATTCCACTAAATTCACAGTGAAGTCTCATGAAATCCCATTGAATCTGATTAATCCACCAAACTTCACTGTGGTACCCTCGCGCCATCGTTCCAGGCGGGTCCGGGGCGGCGGAAAGAGATGCATTGGCACCGCGACGGGGCCACGGGCCTGCTCCACTTGGGGATGCTTGGCTCCCAGCTATGGACCCTGGAACTATAGTAACATATAGTAACCCCCAAGATGGAAACACAAGTTACATCATTTTGTTTCATGATTTGGGTAGGAGTATAGTTTTTTCTCCATAGGGGAGCCTTGGGGATTAACGTCCATCGCCGCATCGCCTTTCACGAGGATCACGCTCAGCGGCAAGCGGCGCTTGCAGCTGCGGGCGTGGATGGAGGAGGAGTGGACGCAAGAGCTCTCGATGTCAGCAGGTCCCTACACAGATTGGGCTGAAATGAATCCTGAGGAGATCTGGTAAAATGAAGCAACGAAAATGCAAAGGACAATGGGGGGGCTAGTGACGGCTAGTGTTTGATACTTGGGGTACGAATCCCAGGACCTGCTTGGATCCAAGCTGGCCATTCCCATTGGACATGAGGGTACCATAGTGCCAGATTGGGATATAGACCCATCGGACCGTCAGTTGATGATCGGTTGATGGGATGAACATCCATCATACAACAGCCATTTTGCTGTGAACTACAGGGTACCAAGGTGAAGTGACCCATACTGCACCCATTCTGCACCTCCAATCCACATCTGGGAACCTTCCAATCCAAGGTGACCAAAGTTGGGGAGATTTTGAGATGGTGCACAGTGATTTCAAAGAGATCTCAAGAGGCAGATCAAAGCGATCTGAAAATTTGGGGATACACATCTATAAGTTATATAAGTTATACAAGTACCAGTATCTACCAGCTACAGATGTTCACCCCAAGAAGGCCGGTTGGAAACAACATTACTTGCACATGGCGGAGTCGCCATCATCTGCAAGACCTGGAACAGCACTGCCATATGACCTCTTATTTCGTTGCTTAGATTGCCATGATATCCCCATATGGTCAGTTATATCCCTATCTTCCCCCCATTTTTAGAGAATGTTTCCTTTGAAATCCGATTCTATTTCCATTCTGTTTCCATAAAAAAACTGCGTTTCATCCGCAATCAATGTGGCTTTCCAGCCCACCAGGTCACATCTACCTGTCCTCGCCCTTTCTCTTCGAGCACTGCATCAGCTACCGCCCGGAGGAGCCAACGCTGGCGCTGATGTGTCGCTTTGGTTTCATGGACGAGGAGGACTCCCTCTGGGTGAATCACCTTCGAGGCCGAGATATGTTGGAGGCGAACCTTTTGGGAATCGCGGCTGAGGGGAGAATGGAGCGATTTGTTTTTTTTTTGGTGTCCAAAATCACTTTGAAGTCTTTTTTCTCCCATAGAATTGGTATTCCCAGCTTTTTGTGGTGGCGCCATTGATTTCACAGAAATCAATTCGAGTCCTGGCGAAATATCTCCAGCGTTTCTAGCGCCATAGTATTGGGCCGGGTGATGACGGGTGATGGTAGGTTAGAATTCAGCACTTGAGGCTGGAGGATTTTTAGTTGATTTTTACAATTCGGCCAACATTTTCTGGATCATATCCCTTAGTCTGACGAAGCAACTATATCCCGAATTTTATCGCGTTGTAACTATAGAGATCATATGAGATATACAATAGTAATGATTAACACATGACAATTCATTATATCAGTAGGAACTGATTTGGCAATACTACTGAGTTGCCATGATAAGGATGACATATTGCATGCACACTTATGAATATAGGATGCAGAAATATGATTCATTCATTGATTCAATCACACATATAGGATGCAGAAATAAGATTCATTCATTGATTCAATCACACGTGCCATCCCATGGTTTTGAATGTTATAAAAATAATCATTGCACGGCACTTTTTTGTTGGCAAATGCCCCATTTTTGGACACATCTAAATCTGTATTTTTGATGTGCATTGGCTGTTTTTGTCCCGATTTTAAAGGGCAAATTAGCGGCAAATTCATCTATCACTCGGCATTTTTTGGACAAAGCTGAAATCCATCATGGATGACATCATAACATACGTACGTATATATATATATATCTATCTATATATATATAGTACTATAATATATATATATAATTATGTTTGCAAATTATATTTCTCATAGTTTTTGTGCTATTTTGGCAGCTCAAAACTTGACGGCTGCAGGTGGTCCAACTGCTGAGTGTCCAGCTGCAACAACATCGCCTACGCCTTCCGCAGCTGAAGGAGGTCAGAGCGGTAGCAGCTGAACTGGTGAAGTCGGTGAAAAAGACGCGACGGTTTGGCCGTGAACACCTGGGGAATGCTTTTTGGGAGGTGATTTTTTTGCGGGAAAATGATGGAACATGAGGATTATTGACTATAAACATCCCATTTTTCGGCGGAAATAGGGAGAAGGGGGGGGCCAATACAAAAATGTGATGCTGGAGGTGGCGTTGGTTTTTTTTCGGGATTATCTAATGGATGGAGGGGATAGAACATTTCTTTGGATGGAGGGGATAGAACATTTCTTTGGATGAGGCTTTGGTCTCTAGAAGACTCGCGTGCAGACACTATAGTGGTTGTTTGCGTGCTGATGGCTTAAAAGCTATGTCAGCTATGTTACCACTACCATCTTTCGCGTTTTTTTCATCAGTTCCAAGATGTTCCAAGCCATTTTGGCACCAGGGTACCAGGGTTTTGATCCAATGGCACTCGTTTGAGTATTATGCAGCTAGGTTCCTGGAGGCTGTCTCATAGGACACAGATTCAA